TATCTTGGATAAGCAAAGTGTTAAAAGGTAAGACCTCTTTAGTCCTTAGCTCGCACAAGTTTCTCAACTTCTGAGAGTTGTCGTTCGTATGGGGGCGACAGCTGATTAACGGAAAAACAGATTTTGAAACAGTTTTTTTTTTTAATGGAACATCCTCCTTTTTATTACAGATTTAGATTCTACTGATCTCACACTTTTTACCTATCTTGCAAGGTTTCCGAAATATTTGATATCTGATATGAAAAATTGTCTTTCCAGGACAGTTTATACTATTTCTTTTAGAAACCCTGTATGGAAAATCAACAAATTTGGACTATCAATTGTTTAGTATATACCTTTTCCTAGGAGTCCCAAAAGTCTCCCGCAAATGTACATAGGTGAAAGTTTATGATACGAAATAGATCTAGATTTTTATTTAGATTATAAATCTAATCGTCGATTAGGCAACTATTTTTCTCATTCATAGTTAGTTAACAAGACTCGGTGGTGAAAATCAAAAAGCATCCATCCCGTAGAACGATCTTTTATTTCTTTTCATGTCTGCAACAGAGGCTCTATATAATATGAAAACACAAGTGTATATTTTCGTTTTTTCTTGAGCAATATGTTGTTTTTCAGTATCTTCAATTTGAAAAAATTGTTTCCCCTCCCCTTTTGCCGACCCCGAACGCTGCTTTATTCAATATTCTCACAGGCCGCCAGTTTCTCCCCCCGATTCACCCCTTTCGCTGAAGGCACGTGGACTCCCCCCGGTTTGCCAGTGAATGGTTGATTCCTGCCGACGCTCTGCTCCGTAACAAAAAGTTGCTACCCGTNCCTTGAACAGTCAACGTGTAACCTCAGGGCTAGTACTAGAGTGCCACCAAGATTTAGCCAAAGCCTCGGTAGATAATAACATTATCCTGAGGTGGGTTAAGGGGCACGACAGGAGTAAAGATAATCGCATTGCCGACTCTCTAGCCAAGGAAGCGGCTGGACTAAGAATTTTAAAACCACGTGGCACCTAGGGCCTGATGACTTTGACAATTGCGGAACTAGCCAAACGTCAAACTCATGCTCAATCCCTAATAAGATGGGATGGAATAAAAGGATGCAATCTTGCCAGGATCACGCTGTGCGACCTTGGGAAGCTGGCGCCGAAAAAATATCTGGTGATGACCAGGAAAAATCTACGCTCAACAGTAGGATTTCTAACTGGCCACTGTCAACTAAGGAAACACCTCCACAATATGGGGCTAGTGGAGACACCTCTATGGAGGATGTGTGAACAGGAAGATGAAACTGTCCGGCATGTTCTATGCGAATGTCCGGAGCTATCGTCAATAAGAGAGTGTGTGTTCGGCGAGGCTTGGCCTACACCTGCCGATATAAAGGAGATGTCTCCCAGAGACCTGTTTACCTTCCTGGAAAAGACAGGATGGACGATGACCTAGGAGGACAACTCCTTGGGAGGATGTACAGTGGGTCACATGTGGCCTAAGTGCTATGGGCCTACACTCACCCTCCCTACTTCACAGATACAGAACCTCTCGAGCCAACGCCAACGATAGGAAACAATGGAGTCGCTGAACTTTGATGTCATACAGTTTTTAATATCAAAAACAGATCAGGCAGTGCTGTTTCGATCTGCCGTAGATCTCATTAGCGGTACTAAGCTGAACTTCGAAAGAATGGTTGGACTCAACTGTCCTTAAAAATAATCTTGATCAAAAAATTTGAATGATCATCTCCGTTCACCAAACAGCTATCTATAGGATCGACAGAAAACTTAAACCTTGCTTATGTAAGATACACGAGGGATCCCAAGATGGTTTCATGCGGAATCAAACTTAAACATCGATCCTTCTCTGTCTTTCTCTGCAGCTCACATTGTGAATCAATTAGATGAAACCGGAGCCCAAAAACAAATCTTTCGTGATTCATAAACTAGACAGCGAAACATAAGTCTTATCCTTGTTTATCTTGGATAAGCAAAGTTTGAATTTTCTTTCAATCTCATAGATGACGTCTTCGTAAGGGTCTGTTCTAAGTTTTACGGTAGATTTGTGGTGATTATGTGATGACGTTAACTGAGTTTCCGAAAATTGCGATGGAGTTATATAGGGTCTTCCAACAGGAACTTTCGAAGTTTGACAATTGATAACGGCCATCTTGTTGAAGCTACATCTGTCAAATTATTAGTCATTTATTCATTTATTTAGTCTGTCAGTCATAATTTTTGAATATGATGAGTAAACGATAATTATGTACAGTTCAAAAAAATTAACCGATTCTCCTTTGTTTCAGATGGCTTCCTCTCCTTCAGAGCTTCGTTCCCGGAGTGGTGCGATAGCTGTTCCGAGCTATTGGACAGCACCGGGGGGGCGTTGACCGCCCCCACTGGCCAAGACCCCTTACCGTTGATGGGACTGAGATCGCTCCGTATTTCGGCCCCACCGTTGCATCGCCCCCACAGGACCAGCTTATCTTCGACGGCGAACAGTTCAACAGAAAGTTCGGACACCGACGATAGATGCGATAGTTCATTGGGTGAGTTAATGTACAAAAGTTTCTAATAGTCGAAAGGATCATACAGTATAAGACATCTATAATTTGAATATCATCTTCCAATGTTCCACAACGTTCAAATCTGGGACCGTTGCTCTTCAATATATTCATTAATGGTATTGCAGATGTTATAGATGTGTATTTCCTTTTATATGCCGATGATCTAAAACTATACTGCCTCGTTTAGAACATAGATAATTGTGTGAACCTCTCAACAAACGTAGGACGGGTTGTAGAATGGTGTTATCGAAATAACTTGTCGCTGAACCTGGATAAATGTAAAGGTCATGTCCTACAGTTTGAAAACGAATATTTTGATCTTTGATTATTCAATAGAAAACGTTTCCCTGGTGAGACCAAAAACATTTACTGATCTTGGCGTCACATTTGATACTGCACTATAATTTAATAGGCAAATCGAAAATGTTGTAACCTCTTCGTCGTTTGTACGGATTAATTGCACGTAACAGTAGCGATTTCAAAGAAACTTCGACCTAAAAACTTTATTCTATGCTTTCATAAGATCAAAGTTAGAATACGCGTCAGTTGTGTGGAGCCCCTTTTATCAATATCACATTGATAGAATTGAAGCAATTCAACGACGATTTTTAAAACTGCTAAGCCTAAAAACCGATGGGATTTATCCTCCAATAGGAACAACCCACTCTGAATTGCTACAAAAGCATAACTTTTGCAGTCTCGAAAAAAGGCGTGAATATTATAGTGTTGTACTAACCTATAAAATTATCGAAAGCATAGTTGACTGCCCAACATTACTGGAAAAGTTTAATATTTGCATTCCTAGAATCTGAAACATTCATCTTATTTTTTAAACAGACCTCCTACGTATGTATTCACATACTTTTATCGAGTTCACTTCCTCAAATCTATATATTCAAAAGGTATCATAAAACGGACCTGCTTTACCTGTTTTGGTGTATCACTGTATTCAACTACATATTTTTCAGATTTTTCTCTACTTATAACTTTTCAATGGTGAACAGATTTCGTTGAAATTCCGGTTCAACCACTCTTCGAGCTAGTCAAATTTTAATTTAGGGAAAGGGTCGAACAAATTTAATTTATGCTGCAAGGAGAATTTAGTCAGTGAGTTATACTGCTTCATTTCCAAATGTAACTAATTTCCACTTTGAAGCAGAAATTAATAAACATACGAACAGTATGATATAATTTGTTTTCATCACAATTTGCATTGCAATACGCAAAAACGATAAATAATCCTAATAGATTAATTGCGATGATTGATCTTCAGTTGTTTTTTTGTTTCACTTATGACACCAAATGTGCTTTTGCTACAAAATAGTTGTTTACTGATATTGTGATAAGCAATTAGAAAACACAAACTTCACGATAAACTGGCAATGTTGTTTTAAGTTTTACAGTTGGTTTTAAAAATAAGAATTTATTAGCCTTTTGAATGTGAAATATAGTAAATACTTTTATCATTCAACATCAACAAAACGAATGTGATCACGTTTAGATGTAACATAGGGGAAATACTCTTGGAAAATGTAAAAATTGAAAATTTAGAGAAAAACAAAATTTTAGGCTCTTTATTGATGAAAATCTGAAATTTGATTCCTTTGATGACTTATGTAAAAGACCAGCAGCAGGATGTCATGCAGTGAGAGTTGTTGCAAGAGAGTTAAGACACTACTATCACTAGATCAGTTTATTTTGCAAAAATTGAGTTCTATTTACGTTATGGAATTTGTTTCTGGGGAAATTGTGCACAATTTCGTTTCAATATGGTATTCTCTGTACAAAAAAGATCCATTAGATATTAATGCAAGGCTAGGAATTCATGCCGCCCATTATTCGTGAAACAAAAAATTCTGACCTTGGTATGTCTTTTTATTTTGGAAAAGGTGTGACTTATTCACAAAAAATATAAAAATCAATTTAATACCACCTCAACTTATAGTACATGTCAGTCTTACTTCATTTCCCTTCCAATACCTACTCTAGCCCTTACACAAAATTCTATTATTTTCAATAGCAAGAAGTTATATAATCACCTTCCCATTAATTTAAGGCGAATATATAATGAAAATAAATTCAGAAAGAAAGTAAAATAATTCCTTGTTGGGAGGCCCTATTATGGTGTAGACAAATTCTACCAAGGCTCTATCGAGTAATTGGCATGTAGCTTTGTGTAAACAAGTTATTGAAATCCACAATGGTAGAATTCAAGATTCAATATACAGTCTAAAAAGTGAAATTGGAACTTCTGGTTTAGAATAAATCCAAAAATAGGCACGCTTCCCAAATACCATGTTCATCTCCTGATGAAATGCGCGTCGAGAAGAGTATTGCATTTCTGGTGCTTGGGAGAGGTGCTTGTTTTGGATACAGAGTCACAGACATTGTATCTTTATCCACAAACCATATAAGTCAGAGGAGTTAGTAGAAATACCTATTATTCATCATCTAAATATAAGTTCAAATGAAATACTATCAATTAACAAATCAATTTGTTCGGGCTAGTCTCAACTCACCTACACTGTAGGTCAATGGACTGAAACCTATCAGAAAACTACTACTTCCCTGACTAATACCACGAAGGGCGTTGGATTATATTCGACGGGTGTCAGTGCAGGATTCTTCAGAGAAGTAATTCCTGCATATGCTGTTGACGATACAAGTGCCGGACTGTATATCATGTATTTATCAACAACGTGAAGTTTTATTATTCATGTTCAATACGTATATCTTACCTAAAATATGAGTTATTTCATAATTTTTTTTCTCCATGCAAGATTCATTTTGAAATTGAATATTAAATAAATAAAAGGATCAACATAATTCAAGTTTCAACTGTTATTGAAAGAGGTACGGTTTTTTTGCAGGACTCGAAGACGATAGAGGAGAATTTCCAGTAGAAATACTTCCTTGCCTCTTTCTGGGTAATGGAGCGAGCAGCGAAGATAGTCAGGCTCTAGCCAGGCACAATATACAGGTATTGAGAAACGTTCAATATGTTTTTTTGTCCATTCCTTGACAATTCTCTCTCATATTTTTCAGTATGTGCTTAACGTCACAAAAGATCTTCCTAATGTGTTCGAGAAGCAAGGAAACATGAAGTATTTGCAGATTCACATTAACGACCATTGGTCGCAGAACTTGGCAAGTCATTTTCCGAGTGCAATTGCATTCATTGGTGAGTTTCATGTATTCCAATTTTTTTTTCTCGAAAAATTTATAAGTAGTGAGTGTTGCAATGTCATATGAAATAGGTTTTTTTATGTCTTTGAAGTAACAAATTCAAGGAAAAGTTATTTGAAATATGGAGGTTTATTGCAAACTATGAGCTAGTGAGTTTCGTTGTTCATCTGTCGACAGTTACTCACCGAAGTTTCAGTCATTTTGGACGCGCAGTTGTTACGTAACAGTCGTTTGAGTGAGTTGTTGTGAATGTTTTTATGAAAATAGACAAAATCGAGTATCGAACTTTCATTAAATACATGTTTTGAAAGGCAATACGCCTATGCCAATCATAGCTGAGTTATATTCTGTGTATGGGGACTGCACCATCATTCACCACAGTGAAATTTTGGGCAGCTGAAATTGAACGTGGCCGTGAGAGCTTGGGAGACGATGATTGTTCGGGACGTCAAAAAACTGCAACTACCGACGAAAACATCGTTCGCCAAATGGTGCTAGACGACCGCCGAATTAAAGGGTGAGAGATAGCAGAGGTTATGAACATGCAAAAAAACGTGTTTGTCAGATATTAGGCATGAGAAAGCTTTCCACGCGTTGTGTGCCGCGTTTGCTCACGTTATAACCAATGAACATTCCCAATGCTCTGTTAGCGCAGTGTAGACACAATAAGTCCGAGTTTTTGCGCCGATTAATTACTGTAGATGAAACTTGGATACACCATTATGGTTAGGTCAGGTCCAAAGTGAGTGGGTCTATTCGACCTTCCACCGCAACCCGCAAGGTATATTGTGGCTCACACCTATTCACACTCGACCAAATAAACCCAGCTTCTTAACGAAGCCGATTAGTTTGTATGGTGAGTGGTCTTTCAGTGGTAAGAAACTCTAAAAACCTGATTCGTAGCGGGACCGTATGTGCTCTGCTGTTTCATCATTGTCCAATTAGAGGCGTTTTTCGACAGTCCGAGTCTCTGCATATGATGATTCATAAGACAGTGACCTGTAAGAAGGCCTGTTAGACATCGTAGTTCATCCCTACAAAGGAAAAGTTATTTGAAATATGGAGGTTTATTGCAAACTATGAGCTAGTGAGTTTCGTTGTTCATCTGTCGACAGTTACTCACCGAAGTTTCAGCCATTTTGGACGCGCAGTTGTTACGTAACAGTCGTTTGAGTGAGTTGATGTGAATGTTTTTATGAAAATGGACAAAATCGAGTATCGAACTTTCATTAAATATTTGTTTTGAAAGGCAATACGCCTACGCAAATCATAGCTGAGTTATATTCTGTGTATGGGGACTCTGCACCATCATTCACCACAGTGAAACTTTGGGCAGCTGAAATTGAACGTGGCCGTGAGAGCTTGGGAGACGATGATTGTTCGGGACGTCCAAAAACTGCAACTACCGACGAAAACATCACCAAAGATCACCAAATGGTGCTAGACGACCGCCGAATTAAAGGGTGAGAGATAGCAGAGGTTATGAACATGCCAAAAAACGTGTTTGTCAGATATTAGGCATGAGAAAGCTTACCACGCGTTGGGTGCCGCGTTTGCTCACGCTGTTTCATCATTGTCCAAACAGAGGCGTTTTTCGACAGTCCGAGTCTCTGCATATGATGATTCATAAGACAGTGACCTGTAAGAAGGCCTGTTAGACATCGTAGTTCATCCCTACTGCAGTCCAACAACTCTTTGGTATCAAGCTTCGAAGGTTGAATAAACGCCTTGGAGTGAGCCAATCCTGGAAGTTTTTGCCAGAAGTCCATAAATGATCTGGCCATCCAGGTGTTCAATCTTCGTTTGGCAAAGCCTAAGCGATGCCAATGATAGGTTCTGGTCCGATGAAGCTGCTTGCGATACACCATTACACGTTCGAAACAAAAATACAGTTCAAAAAGTGGACTGTCAAGGGAGAACCGGCTCCAAAAAATGCATATACTGTTATTTCGGATGGGAAAGTGATGTCGACTGTCATGCAGTTATTTCAATAGATTATCTTTGAAAAGAAAAAACTATAATAGGAGCATACTTGGCATCGTTACTTGAAAAGCTGAAGGCAGAACGGAAAAACGGCCACATTTGCAGAAGAAGAAAATCCTGTTTCACCAAGACCACACACCGTCTCACACCTCAGCGGTTGCCATGGCGAAAATCCACGAATTATGGTTTGAACTGCTTGACCATCCGCCTTACCCACCAGATCTAGCCCCAAGCGACTTGTTTTTGTTCCCTCATCTGAAAATTGCGCTCGGAGGAAATATATTTTCGTCAAATGAAGAGGTATTCACCTCCATGCACAATTATTTTTCATAGAAAAACGCCGAGTACTATTTGGACGGACTACAGAGATGGGGGCATCGCTCGGAGAAGTGTGTATAGTTAAAAGGAGACAATGTTGAAAAATAAAGAAAAACAAATAAAAATATCAAATCACTATTGTACATAGGAATTTCTAGTACAATGCAAACAGCATACCCATGAACGTTTAAAAAAAACAGGTCCGTACTGCATGCAGTGACTGAAGATGTTGTCAGATATACGAAACATTCTTGATTCAAACTTTGTGATATACCATTGTATTCCAAAGATAATGATTATGAAAAAATATCCAGGTTCATATCATAAGAAAAGGATTTGAGCCCCGAAAAGACAGAAAGTTATCCAGAATAAGCACTTTTCCCAATCACCAGAAGTGTGATAATCTTCTACGCGCGGTTCACCAACCAAGTCGGCGTTTTCAGGAGATGAAGAAAACTAATTGCTAACTCTAAAACTGGTCTCTATTGATATCTTCACACTTTCACTTTTCGATACACAGCAGTGTTGAACTGGAAGCAATTCTGTTCTATGCAGATTTTTGTTGATTGTATGTAGTCTTCTATTACTTATTCACTCAGACAATTATTAACCCCCAGAAGATTCGATAGTTTTTGGTTTTTACAGACAGCATGAAGGCACGGCAATGGGCACTTTCCTACTCCATAACTAATCTGTTCATGAACAAATTTGAATTGGAACCAGAAGTTGAAATTATTTTCCACGGACTTTTATCCGATATGTAAACTATGTATTTCCGATTTTTTATCCAAAGAAATCAAAGGTAGACACTTTGTTTCAACTCCTAACAACAGAACCCTAAATATTGAGTTTACATATGAAATTGAAAACAACGAGGAGGTACCATTCTTGGATGTCTTAATGATTAAAAGAAACAAGGGTGTAGAATTTGATGTCTACAGTACTTTTAAATATATTTCTGATAGTTCACACCATTGTCCACAACAAAAATGGCAGGTCTAAACTTTCATGTTCATAGACTTGTTACGTTCCCCTTGAGTAAAAAAAGGTACGAAATCGAGAAAAATGCTTTCTCAGTTGAAAGCAGCAGGTATTCTTCAATTAAATTGATGAATGTAGCCTTCAAATATTGTAGGTTAGTTAATTAGAAAAATAAATTTAGGGAAAATCTTCGTAAATCTTTGACTTTTCAAATAGACATGGATTCAAAGTTTATTGCCCATACACTAACGGATTAGATCTTACATTCAAAAAGTTGAATGTGAAAGTAACCTTTAAAACTTCTTGGAAAATGAAAAGTTGGGAACATATTAAAAGCCGACCCCGAACGCTGCTTTATTCAATATTCTCACAGGCCGCCAGTTTCTCCCCCCGATTCACCCCTTTCGCTGAAGGCACGTGGACTCCCCCCGGTTTGCCAGTGAATGGTTGATTCCTGCCGACGCTCTGCTCCGTAACAAAAAGTTGCTACCCGTGGACGGATACTCTGTCTCCGTTCGCGGTATCGGCTCTCTTTGTTCGTTTTCATTGAACAGGCATGAATGGCGCCGGGATCTGGGTCACGTCGCCTGGGGAACGATTTCATTCACGTAGGAGTTCTCGCAATACATGTAAATTCTCTCGACGTTTCCTAGCCGTCCCCCTACCCCTCAGGTGGATCAGCCGAAGGAAACTGGAAGACAGACAACCCTAAGGATAAGCGTGGGGAAAACGACGCGGAAGTTGATCCCCTTTTGTGTAAAGATGGGGGAGAGTTATCAACTCTCGAATTATGTTTCTTCTCGCATAACCTATCAAGAGAAGTATGAAATTTCCAAACGTTTTTTTGTTATATTGTAATTCAATTAACGTGACATTTGACGTCAAAGCTGATGCTCAGGAGTTCCAATTTATCGCTTTCCTATATTTCAAGAATCTTACGTACAACAGAAGGGTTTATTTTTTTCAATAGGGTCGCACATACTACATGGGCTGAAAGTCTCGGGCCTAACAAATAGATGGCGCTAGTCTTATTGCATTCGCTTCCTTTTCAGTTAGTACTAACCTTCAAAAGAAAACTGTTGAAATTTCATAAGTTTGTGAGTTATTGTACTAAGAGTGGCACTACTTCACAATTTCGAGTTTTAATTTTACACTGCTTGTTGATATAGGAAAAAATACCGTTCCAACGAAGCAATGGTTATAAAGACTCTGATCCATCAGAAACAACAATTGAATGTTGATTTGCTGACTTCTGTCGTAGAGACAGACACCTTTGAAGCAGAACGCAGTGAAGGTCCAAACGACGCAGTAACGCCAGAAAACATAAACAATCCACAAAATCGTTTTGAATGATCGAAAAGTGAAGTTGCGTGAGTTAGGTTAGGTCCAACGTGAGTGGGTCTATTCGACCCTCCACCGCAAGGTTTTATTGTGGCTCACACCTACTCACATTCGACCAAATAAACCCAGCTTCTTAAAGAAGCCAATTAGTTTGTATGGTGAGTGGTCTTTCAGGTCAAATGGTGAGAGTCCGGCTCTGCCGAACTCTGAAAACTTGATTCGGTCCCCAGCGGGGCAGGCACAAGGTATATGCTCTGCTGTTTCATCCTTAATGAGGTAGTCAAGGTGCAAGATTCCCACCTTGATACCCGCGACAACGTTCCCATATGAGGGTTTTTGCACGTCAGCTACACCTGACGATGCCTTAGATTC